TTGACAGACTGCTGTGCAAAGCGTACTGATCAGATTACCGAGTAATTTTCCTCTTTGGAAATTGGTGGCTGAGGGTGCCCCACGTCGTATTAGATACGATAGTAAAACACGAAGTACGAATGAGTTTACCATTTTTCACTCCCCCAACGGCACCAACTCACAACTATCCGAGTGTATTTTGTTCATGTATGTGGCGTCGGTGGCCTAGTGGTTAGGCTCTCGGACTCGCAACCGTAGGGTCGTGGGTTCGAACAAGGATAGATCTAGATCTAGATCAGGTCCTAGTAGACCCACTAGGCCCGCTACATTAGGCCCTTCTAGACATAGAATCTAGATCTAGATCTAGAATCTAGATCTAGTTCTAATCAGGACCCGGACACTGATACTAGATCTAGATCTACAATCTATTATCTAATCTAGATCTAGATCTATATCTACATCTAGATCTATATCTAGATCTATATCTACATCTATATCTAGATCTATATCTCTAGGATTCTAGATCTAGGTCTAGAGTCCAGGTATTCTAGATCTAGATCTAGATCTAGATAGATCTAGATATCTAGTTAGGCCTAGATCTAGATAAGCCTAGATCTAGATCTACACATGAGAAAAACGATATTAAATAAGGTTAATGAAAAAGTACATGTGCAAATTCTTACATTTCAGGGTCCTTTGGAAAGCTAAAGAATGCTAGGTCTGGTAATTGTGCGATCTTGAATTGGCACGGACGCAGACTGCCGCAAAACACCAGTTACACTTGCGGGTGACTTGCGACTGCCGACAGCCGCCATTAGCTTTGTTTACCGCGCCTCGTTTCACGATCAGCTGGTGACCTGGATACGCGAAAAGAGGCTTCGTTTCCGCTCTCTATAATTAAATACTCTCTGGTACTACCTAGATCTAGGCCTAGACTACGCAATAACCACAGCTAAGACGGCTGTTTTCGGTCAAATAATGTAGGCCTACGCCAGGGGCGGCTCGTGGGGCTAAAAAGTGGACGTGCACAATTAAGCTATCTCATGCTGAAGATAGTCAAGAGCATAGTAAATGAGACGGTGTATAATTTTAGGATCTCTGGGTTGGTGAGGGAGGACCTCGTGCTTTTATCTTCATTCTTCTTACTTGTCGTTTTGATTTCTAGATCTAGTACTAAATTTGTTTGTTAGCTAAACATCAATTTCGTTCTTCCTGTATTGGAACTGAACACTCAAATAATAACTTTTACCACTCCACTACAAAACCATTCAAAGGCACAACTCATAGGACGGTCGCGTCAACCTCCCTCAGGTTCACGGTCACAGCGTCACTTAAAATAGTGGCAAGACAGACAATGATCCAATCATAATTCACTTGAGCACTCCGTTGGATTGTTCCGGGGCTCACATAGCCTAACCCTGGAAGCGCGCAGGCCCTATATAAAGGGCGTGAGCCGGGCTACCCGGGAAGCGCGCACGCCCTATATATAGGGCTCTGACCTACTTCGACCGGGAAGCGTGCAGGCCTAGACGGTCAGAGAGATCGGTAGTAAGAACGTATAGGTGCAGGCCCTATATAAAGGGCATAGACGCTGACCCTTTTCAATGGAAAATTCCAGTGTTCCTTATATATGGAAAATGACGTAGTCAATTACAGGCCAAAGTTATAAATAGTGACCAATGACTTTGCAAGTTATCTTGACCTCGTAGAGCGTCTCTTGGCCGAGATATCGATCGATAAAGTGACGCGGTCCCGCTGAGCAACTACACGCTATGTGTTATCACTTGTTTCGCCGTGCTGATGTACTAATTGTTGAGTCTATCGCGTTCTCGGCATTGTTTGTATTTATTTGATCGCTGATCATTTTTGAATGGCTCATTCTATCAGCTTAAAGAAAATTA